ATTCATTTCAGAAACTGAAGAAACATCTGTGTGAAACACCAATCCTGGGGTATCCACAATCTGAAGGTCAGTTTATAGTCGACACAGATGCAAGCAACACGGCCATTGGAGGCGTGTTATCTCAAAAACAGGGTGAAAGAGAAGTTGTTATTGCATGTTTCGGCAAATCGTTATCCAAGCCAGAGAGAAACTACTGTGTAACAAGAAGAGAACTCTTGGCTGTTGTAAAGACGCTACAACATTTCAACAAATATCTCATCGGCAGACAGTTTTTACTGCGAACTGATCACGCAGCCTTGAAGTGGCTACTGCAATTCAAGAACCCGGAAGGTCAAGTAGCTCGATGGATTGAGCAGCTCCAGGAGTATGACTTCAAGACGGAACACCGCAGCGGAAAGACGCATGGAAATGCCGACGCACTCTCACGAAGGCCGTGTTCGGAAGACTGCAAACATTGTGTTAAGCAGGAATCTAATGAAGTTACATTAAAGCTAACGAGGACAAGTCCTTTGGGTCTCTGGGAGAATGATGCTATGAGAGAGGCTCAAGAAAGTGACGACGACCTTCGGCACATCATCACATGGAAGAAGCGGGGCGATGTAAAACCAAACTGGAGTGAGGTTGCACCCACTGGCGCTGTCACTAAGGCGTACTGGGCGCAATGGGACAGTCTGATACTTCAAAACGGAATACTCTACCGGAAATGGGAGAAGACTAACGGCAGAGAGTTCCATCTTCAGATAATTGTCCCGAGAACGAGAGTACCAGATGTTCTCCGTGAAATACATGATGGCGTATCAGGAGGTCATCTAGGCGTCAAGAGAACTGGGCCATTTCCTGTAACGGAGTCGGGAAACAAGTATTTTATGGTCGTCATGGACTACTTCACCAAATGGCCCGAAGTGTTCGCCATACCAAACCAAGAAGCTACAACAGTCGCTTCTAAGTTAGTCGAAGAAGTGATATGTCGCTTTGGTGTGCCTCTAGAAATCCATTCCGATCAGGGCAGGAACTTCGAATCACAAGTATTCCAGGAAGTGTGTAGAATTTTGGGCATGCATAAGACGAGGACCACCGCGTGCCACCCACAGTCTGATGGAATGGTTGAGAGATTTAACCAGACCCTTGAGAGGCATCTGGCGAAATTGGTAGACGACAAACAAAAGGATTGGGACAAGTATATACCACTTCCTTCTGTCGTACCGAACCGCCGAGCATGAGAGCATAAAAGCTACCCCGGCGTATGTCAATTACGGTAGAGAACTACGATTATCAGTAGACCAATTGCCAGGAGGGTCACCGGAGGGACCACAGACCGTACAAGACTATGTCTGCAATTTAAGGGAAAAAATGCGCTATTTACACGCCTTGGTTCGGGAAAATGGGTTACAGTCAAGTGAGAACATGAAAACCAGATATGACCGGAAATCGAACACGGACGGCTTCGAAGAAGGGTCACTGGTGTGGCTGCATAACCCAACTCGTCGGAAAGGGAAATCCCCAAAGTTGCAGATCAAGTGGGACGGTCCATACAAAGTGGTTACCCGACTGAATGATGTGACTTATAGGATTCAAAAGCAACCAAGAGGGACATTCAAAGTGGTACACATAGACCGTCTGGCGCGTTACCATGGCAGTAACAATGATGCTCGGGACGAGCATCTCTAAGAGGGGAGTAGTGTTATGAACACACAAAAAGAACTAACGCCATCTAGCGTCAACTATTAAAATCACTAAAGAACAAAGACGACATAAAACCCCCTATTCAATACTAGATGGCGTTAGAGGAACTGCTGTGGAACTATAGTCTCGAAAACCGGGTACATTCGCGAACTTTCCGGAATCACGAACATGTCGGGTACGTTCCAGGAAGGATCTTTCTGGATTAGTCCGGAACCGGTCTCGGCCCATATAAAAAGCCGCGGGGAGGCGTGCGAATACAGTTCAGTTTGAGCTACCTTCAAGGCGACTTCGGAGCGAAAACTAGTGATCAAGAGCGATACCAGTGAAACTTACGACTTGGCTACAAAATAGGACATCGTTAGTGCTTAGTGTTTGGACCTAGTGCTTTGTGTTGGACCTAGCGCTTGAATAAAGTCTTCAAAAGAGTCAGCAGGTCTTTCTCTCCAAATCCTTCGAACCCCCTAACACGTAACAATATTCATCATGATCATTTCAATTTTACAATGATTACTGTTGTAATAAAAAAAATAGCAAATATGTAGAAACTATACACTAATTATACAACAGTGTTATATTTGATTATTTATTGATTTTTTTTTTCATTCTTTAATGTATAATAAATAATAAAAAAAAATACACGAAACTAAATTTTATGATAATTTTTCAAAAAAACCTATTTTTGTTTTTTATTAAAATTTAAGCCTTCACTTCAAATAAAATTATATAATATAATTTCTATTGTGTATTGTGCTAATATATTGTCCCATATAATAACAATAGATTAAATATATGGTGTAGACAGGACTAGGTATATAGGTAGTAGTACTATATCCTACTAGTATATGTCGTTTAATATCAAAAGATACAAGCCTTATTCATATTTACCTACGAAGGAAAAAAAAGGAAATGATGCTGAAATGATCAAGTTTTATAAGAAAAAAAAAGTAAAAGAAGGAGTAGTAGTAGTAGAAGTAAAAAAGTAAATACTTATCTATTAATAGACAAATATGAGGGATATATGATTTGATGAGAATATTTGACTTTATACAGGGAGATTTTTTGTGAAGTGCCCAAATTTACACAGGAGGTTCAGACTCGGTAGTATAATCGTTTATTGAAATAAAAACAAATGTTTAAAAAAAATGCTATTCTATTCCCTAAAAAACAGAACTTGTTGACGATGCGGTAGCCATTCATAAATGCGTCGTATTCTTTTGAAACGAACTTGTGTGCGTGTTAGTTATAGCCAATAAATCACGCACTTTTTGAGATAAGTTCAAATGAATGTAATTAATTACTTACGAGTGATTTTAAATATTTACATTATTTACATATAACATTATTTATGTCTAGATATTAGATATTATTATGATATCTAAAAAATGGATACACTTAGAAAAGGCACCCTGTATAGATACGGAAAGGGCAATAAAAAGGAACAAGTTAAATATTTAGATAAGTAAATTGGGTACAGGCTAAATTTTTTTATCTCTTACTTTAGGATAACATTATTCTGTGTTGTAAGGACGTTTTTACAAACATAAATTTCACGTGGACAAACACCCAGATGCGAAACAACTATCTGTGGGTCGCATAAATACTTGTGCCGTGTGGGAATCGAACCCACGATCCCCGACGCCGAAGCCAATACCTCGGCAACTGCGCCACGGAGTCATAATTTGAGTGTGTTGTAACAGTTTAAGACAATGGATTTATTATTATACAACGAACTTAATCTGCAATACAAGTTCTAATTATATTTATTCATCTCTACAGATAAATAAAATTGGAGTGTCAGTTTGTAATATTAAACGAATGCATAATTTTAACGGTGGTAGGGCCACGCAACAGTGTTCGCTGTTGCACGAATGGGCAGGTCCGTCCGCGTAAGTACCACGACCTCACAGAAGACCGGCGAGAAGTAGAAGGTTGCACTTCTGCGTTTCGTTTGGTGAGTGAGGTAGCCGGAGCCCACATTATTAAGAGGTGGCAACGCATCTGCAACCCTACGAGTGTTGCAAATGTCCACGGGCAGGCGGTTATCACTTAACATCAGGTGAACCGCCGGCTCGTTTGCCACTTCCTCACATAAAAAAAATGCATATGGATACACGGTACACATACCAAAATAATTTTTTTTACAATTTTTCTCTGTCTGTCTGTCTGTTTGTTCCGGCTAATCTCTGAAACGGCTGGACTGATTTGAACGGGACTTTCACTGACAGATAGTTGATGTAACAAGGAATAATTTAGGCTACTTTTATTTTCGATTGTTTTTTATTTTAAATTATACGCAGACGAATCTATTATTTCCCATATATTATTGAAAAATCTTTTCACATCAAACTAATATTATTTATTTATTGAAAACGAAGTGTTTTATCTGTAAAATGATTATTTAATGTATGCAACCAGTTTAGTTTTCACATAACCAACTAGAGTGTCACGGGTTCAATACCCACAAAGGAGAAAAAGATGCAACTTACCAGATGTACCAATAAAGTTCTTAGTGGTAATATACGAAATAAACGGGACAACTATTTCTGTACCCACAGATAATTGTTTCGGATCTAGGTGTTTGTCCACTTGCAATTTATGTATATAAAACGTCTTTACAATGTTATCCTACAGTAAGGGGCAAGGTTTTTGAAGAGAAGCTTACAATAAATCTTTCTAGATCTCAGTGGTAGTTGGGATTGGGACTTAACCCAACTCCTTCCACACAAAATACAAATACAAATCTTCAAGCAAGATATGTTATTCTCAAGTGCTTGAGACATTTAAGAGAAATTTTGATATTGACTTTATCAATTGACACTCTATATTGACTTTCCGGGAGATAGTTCTATTTTCAAACAACTTCAAGCGGGAGGTTCTCAATTCAGTTGTTTCTATTTCAGAAGTCTGTCATTTGTGAACAGATTTGAAAAACTAATTTTTGCATCGGGTTCGGTTGAGCTTCCATGTGGTCCCATATTAAATTCATCGGTATTGAACCTTGAACTCCGGAGATATATCAGGGAATTCCTCAGAATAGTATAGAATATGTATGTATATGAGTGTAATATTTGATGTCGGTTTTGTAATTTGTTAATAAAAATGTTTTACTCATTTAAAGTTTCTGAAAGATGTTATTATCTATAACTGTAATTGATGGGCATAATCAAAACGCTATCTACAGATAGATTTGGTTACTGGAAATAGAATCTTGACTTAAGTACTATGGAACTAATGTCAAATATCTATCGCTAGTAACCAAAGCTATCTGTAGATAGATTATTGAAACCGGCCATTAGAGTTAAATCCGATGGAGTTACCTCTGTTGTGATGAAAGCCAGCCGCCCAGCCGGCGTAGTATGCTGCTTTCTGCTTCCCGTGCTCCTCCGCCACCTGGAATTGAGGATAACCTTCTAGAACAATTGCAACAGCCACATTGTGTCCAAAGCTCCGTTGCAACGCGACCATGTTAAGATTAATTTGAGTTCTCTACCCTAATTTTTACGGTGGTAGGGCCACGCGGCAGCCTCGGCTGTTGCACGAGTGGGCAGGCCCGTCCGGGTAAGTACCACTACCTCACAGAAGAGCGGCGTAAAGGGGAAGTATAATACTTTCGCATTTCGTCTACTGAGTGAGGTGGCCGGAGAGTCCGATTTTCAAAAGATTGTCAACGCATCTGACAACCCTCGGGTGTAGCAGATGTACATGAGCGGTGGTATTCACTTAACATCAGGTGAACCACCTAAATAAATAAATAATTCAACCAATACAATTCAGAAACTTTACACAGTAATCTTTTCTATTCTATTCATACTCAGTAATGTTAACACGATAAATATTTAGCAAGGCCAAACCAATTCTTTATACACTGACGGTATTGGTGATAATTATAAGCGCTTGAGTGTTTATGGCTTTGAAAGAATTTATAATGCATTATATAAGCTTATTGAAAAAAGCATTTTGTTAATGTTATATACATATAAGTCACAAGGCATTGAGACGATTCACACAGTATTAAATAAGCTTACTCAAATATATATATATATATGTCACAAAATATGATAATTTCAATTAATATATATATTATAATCTTAGCCTCATTAAAAAAATCATGATGTATGCTGGAAACAATAATAACAATGGATGCGCCAAGCATTGCTTCAAACGCTAAAAAACAATTTAGATAAAAGACGTTGAGATTTTCGTCGTTGTGGCAATCAGCCGTTTAGCTCAGTGGCTGAAGCGTCAGGGCGCGGATCCCTAAGACGCGGGTTCGATTCCCACAGCGGCGAGAAACTTTTCGTACTTTATTCTACAAATTTTAATGATTTATGTGTTATAGTTCTGCGTTTCGTCCGTTGAGTGAGATACTACCGGTTACCTCACTTGCTTTTGAAGGTTGGCAACGCACCTGTGGGGTTGCCACAGATGATGTAGATGTCCACGGACGGTGGTGTTTAGTTAGCATCAGTTGAACTCCCTGCTCGCTTAGCACCTTATGACACAAAACATCCAAATTAAATAACAGAACATTCTCTAAGGGTGTGACAAGATACCTCGTGATAAGCAGATGAGAATCGGACTATAGAGGGAAACTCTCCAGATGGATTGTCAGCAAATTCTGATCAGACATACCTTGACGCTGAGTGGCTCGGTGCCGCCCTCTGGTATGACATTGTTGAGGGCCGCTATCGCCTCCTGCGCCTCCTCGCGCTTGTCGAATCTGCAGAACAGAAGAGAGGTGAGAAAGAAGGAAGCCACTTCATCAAATGGCATGCACAGAGCTTTCAGACGGGGTATGCACTAGAGAAATTCCCAATTCCTAAGCGATTGGCGTTAAATTAACAGGCCACCTAAGTGATACCCAGGGTCACCTAGGGCCTACCCTGCCACCGATAGATTTCTACCATCAGACGAAACGTAGAAGTGTAACAGTTTCACTTCGCGCAGGTTTCAGAGGACGCGGTACTTCCCCGGACGTACCTGCCCATTCGTGCAACAGCCAAGACAGCGGCCCTACCACATTAAAAAAAATCACGTCATCTGTGGACTAAGCCACAGTGAACTTACGCCTTTTCTTTTCTTTTTTGAGTTTGATCCCCGATGACGGCACCAATGAATTTGTTAACATTAAGTGCTGACTTGATGTGTTCCTCACATCACCAGATCACATCTGCGTTTTTTCGAGATAATAACAAGAAAAAATAATATCTCGAAGACATACGAAGTCCGCCTATCCTAGCATTGGGACCGCGTGTACTACGCCCCGATACCATCTGTACATAGCCTTTGCCCAGCAGTGGGACACGTATAGGCTGTCACTTTACATTTCTTAGGGCTCCCGGCTCACCTGACGAAGGCGACGCCCCTCGGCGCCCCGTTGGCCTTGTCGCGCAGTATGTGCTTCTGCACTATCCGGCCGTACTTGCCGAAGATCGTCTCCAGCTGCTCGTCGGTTATCGCCCTGGGCAGGTTACTCACGTACAGGTTCGTGTCCTTGATGTCGTCTCCAGACGGCCGGGCGTACGAGACCTGCGACGAGAGCGAACCTGCATTACGAAGTGCTGGAATACGGATTTGGGCTTTAGTCGAGGTATCCGGTAGTACGGGTACGAACGGGAAAAGGTCTGTGCTAGGATCTCGCCAATAGAACTGTGACGCAACAAGATTTGGTGGATAATACGGACGGAGGATATAACTCCACAGTAGGTGAACAATAGGCACTGGTAGGTGTACTTGTGTACCGTTATAGAGGGTAAATAATATATAACAGTATGCACGTAGTAGTTGTTCTTCTTTAACGTAAGTACCACGACCTTACAGAAGATCGGCGTAAAGTGGAAGTATGACAAATACTTTCGCGTTTCGTCTGGTGAGTGAGGTGGCCGGAGCCCAATTTTGAAAAGGTTGTCAACGCATTTGCAACCCTCGGGTGTGGCAGATGTCCATGGGCGGCGGTATTCACTTAACATCGGGTGAACCGCCTGCTCGAAATCGAAATCTCGAAATCCCCATAGCACGGGCGTGATCTCGGCGGTGGTGAGGAGGGCCAGCGGGCCATCCCTAACTCTTACCGCTGTAGCGGCTCTACACCCGAGGCGTATCGGGAAAACGACATAGTCTTCGGCACGGCGGAGCTACAGTCGCGTCCGGCCTCCCATTGGCCTGTTCCGACCGCAGGAGCTCTCGTGGCATTGTAAAAATTTCACTCTCGTATTTTTTTCCCAAACGCGCCAAAAGATATATAGTTTCAAACGATGTTTTCCAGGTGCTTGCTTGTGTCTCGATATACTAGTATAAAAATGGAAGTTGGGCTAATGATCTTAGCTCGGTTAACCTGAAATGTTTGTACCTTTAACCGTTTGTTCCTTAACCGGTAGCCGTTGAAGGTCTCGATCGCCCTCAAGGCGTCCTCCTCACGTGTGAAGTTTACGAAGCCGAAGCCATAGCTGTAGCCAGTCTGGAAGTGACATCGCATACATCAATAGAGTACTAACCGTAGTAGCCGATCTGGAAGTGCCGTCGTCGATATTAACGCTAAACATTCATAAACAGCCGACACTTGGATCGCAGCGCATCATGTACAATTTACGAACATACACATGGATGGGGAGGAGGCTTTACTTTGATTTACTTTATTGTTCGCTGTTGCAAGAATGGGCACGTCCGTCCGGGGATGTACCACGACCTCATAGAAGACCGGCGCGAATTCGAAGTGTCATACTTCTGCGTTTCGTCTGGTGAGTGAGGTAACAGGTACCCACTTAATTGAAAAGTGGCAATGTCCATGGGCGGGGCTATCACGGTTACCACCAGGTGTGCCAGCTCGCTTGCCATTTACTTACATTAAAAAAAAACTAAATCAGTTGCATAGATTATGTTACATTACCGTTAACAGTTATAAAAATTGGCAATGGACAGAATCGTAAAGTAACAACACAATACATCGTAGTATTTTGTTGTTACTTTACGTAAACAAATTATTTATTACACAGAACCCCGTCAAGAAGCGAAATTGCGTTGCCAACGTAACTTACGATCGAGAACTCGATATGGATAAGTTCCAATTGCATTTCTTTCGCCTTGAGCGGCCAAGAAATCTATACTATGTTCACGATTTCCGAACCGTCGCTAAGCGTACCGGATAGTTGTGTACTCCAGCCGGATAAAATATGTGTAGGTACAGGTTGTCCTATTTCGCTATGCAAAATATTATTTTGCGATAATACATAAAAATCCGAAGATATTATTTGGGATACTTACTAGTGCCCAATATTAGTTAAATGACTCTAAATGGCGAAGCCCATAAGTCTTTTTTTTATGTGAGAAGGTGGCAAACGAGCTGACGGTTCACCTGATGTTAAGTGATAACCGACGCCCATGGACACTTGCTAAAACCGTAGGGTTGCGGAAGCGTTGCCACCTATTAATAAAGTGGGCCCCGGCTACCTCACCCACCAGACGAAACGAAGAAGTATAACGCATCCACTTCACGGCGGTCTTCTGTGACGTAGTGGTACTTTCCCGAACGGACCTGCCAGCTGCAAGCTGCTGCGTGGCCCTACCACAGTTCTTTCTTAAACTAACGGTCTCTATTTAACTTTAAACCGTGAGATGATATCTAAGAAATTAATAACTAAACTTAGAAGTTAACTTATAATACCCAAGAAAATAAAGAAGCTAAATCGCTCCAAACAAAGTCACACTGGAACGTTTCTAAAACAAAATCAGCTAGAGACAATTATTGTCCTATAGTTAATCTTCCTTCAGTTTAGAAATTTAAATTGTTTATAGTGCTAATCTTTGCACTTAAGATTGAACATTAAAATATGTAGAAAAAGTGCGAAAAGATTGTCGCCGCTGTGGGAATCGAACCCACGTCTTCGGCATGCGTTAAGATTTTCGTCGCTGTGACTATCAGCCGTTTAGCTGAGTGGCTAGAGCGTCAGGCCGCGAATGCCGAAGACGTGGGTTCGATTCCCACGGCAGCGACAATCTTTTCGCACTTTTTCTACATATTTTAATGTTCCTTCAGTTTTTTTAAAGCCACCCACCCACGCACCTTAAAGTCCTTCATGACGCGGCAGCTCTCTATAGGTCCTATCGTCATGAACATCGCGTATAAGTCCTTCTCCGTCATGGTCTGCGGGAGGTAGTTGACGATGAGGTTGGTTTTGCAGGTGTCGCCGGCGGCGGACACCCCGCCGCCCTCGGACATGCTGCCCCAACAGCGGCCCGCTGCGTTCACGCGGCCCCTGTATGCTGCTGGATCTGCTGCGGAGCGGTAGACCCGGGATGAGTAAGGTAAAGGTAACAGCCTACACGTGTCCCACTGCTGGGCAAAGGCCTCGTCATACAGAGGGTATCAGGGCATAGTCCACCACGCGACCCCACTGCGGATTGGCGGACTTCACAGATCTTCGAAATATTTTTTTGAAGTTATACTTTGTCTAAAAGTATTTCTTGAAATATTTATTTGTTTATTTAATTTTGCGTTTTAGCGAGTGAGTTTACCGAAGCCCCATTCTAATAAAGGTATGCTTAGATCTCAAATACCTCAAAGATTTAAAAAGATACCAGAAAAACTATACAAAGGTCCAATATATCTTTACCATTGCAATAGCTTGTAGTACACAAAGCCTTAAAGAACTTGCTGAAGAATCACTGCTTTGATTAAAAAAACGCATAAAGCATTTTAGTGAAACATGCTATTAACGGTCTACCATTTTTAGTATGCACTTGAAAGTACTGCGGTAAGACCATGCAATATTTCGCTCTTGCAAGAATGGGATCCGCCCGGGGAAGTACCTCACAGAAGACCGGGCGTGAAGTGGAAGTGTTGTATGCGTTTCGCATGTCGAGTGAGGTAGCCGGGGTCCACTTTATTGAAAGGTAGCAACGCATCTACAACCCTAAGGCTGTTGCAAATGTTAACGGGCGGGGGTTATCACTTAACATCAAGTGAACCGCCAGCGCGCTTGCCACATTCTCACATAAAAAAGGACCATCATACTATTAGAACAGCGGAGTCTCAATTTGCAAATGTATCCGTAATTAGTATAACTAATTAGCGTTATAAAAGTACATTAGTTTGAACGGGCAATTATTAATTAAGTAGGGCTGCAAAAGCAACTGTGTTCTTCTAGGGGCTATCGAGACAAGGCCACCGAGATAGGGCGAGATCTAATGAGATCGTTGGAGAGCCACGAGTGAACTACAGCATGGACAACGCGTTGTTTGCTCATCTGACACGTTTTGTATGTTTGACGGGAATGCGGTAAGAATTTATTTGAGATGCAACATTTGACAACTGTATATTAATAAAATTAATATCCAATATACAGGGTTATTAGCAGCACGGTAGCAGATTTTCTCCACTTTTCGGTAGGTGTTTTAACCGGTTGTGCGATAACTATGAGGTCACTCAATCAATTTATACCGTCCAGAATCGGTTACCAGCGACGGGTGTTTGACATTAGCTCCATAGTAGTTACGTCAAAATTCTATTTCAAGTAACCAAATCTGTGCGGAAGGTCAATGGATGCAGGTGGCTCAAGATCGTGCTTCGTGGCAGTCTATGTGGGAGGTCCATGTTCAGCAGTGGACTCAAACAGGCTGAAATGACGATGATGATGAACCAGATCTATCTGTAGATCCAATATTCTATCTATATTTTCACGCCGATATTCTGTGAGGTCGTGGTACTTCGCCGGATGTAACTTATTTTTTTTTGAATGGGGGGGGGGGGGGGGGGGAAATCTTCGTAAGATACCCCGTCATTCTGTGTGTCATTCGCGACAGCGAAAAACGTAAGTCGATGGTATGATCTTGCGCCATTTGTGTCCAATTGCTGCCAGCAATTTTACACAAGTAATCACTGGCCCGCATTACTTCTACTCGTCGATCTTACGGAGGCACATTTAAATTCCCATCCCAGTATATCCGAACTGGAGTGTTCACCGTCACGTCAGCCGCATCGAGCGTAAAAACCGAAGCGCTCGTGACATAGATCCGCGGACGTAAAGGGTGTTCGCTTGTTACGTATTCCCCGAGTACGAAGTGCAAACAAGTACCTTATTCGTGGATAATTAGAAAGAAAGGTTATTTGGCACATAAGTAAATAAAAATTGTTTACATTAAAAGGAAATCCGATTTAAATGCACCAAATAGGTTTCCAATGAGCATGAGTTCACGGAGTTAGTATTCGTGAATGCTGATTTTCAGTGGAACCGTAATGATTAAAGACTATTCATACATTTTTTTTATGTGAAAAGTTGCCAAGCGAGCAGGGGGTTCACCTGATGTTAAGTGAATACCGCCGCCCATGGACATCTGCTACACCCGAGGCTTACAGATGCGTTGACAACCTTTTAAAAATGGGACTCCGGCTACCTCACTCACCAGACGAAACGCCAAAATATTTGTCATACTTCCACTTTACGCCGGTCTTCTGTGAGGACGTGGTACTTACCCGGACGGGCCTGCCCATTCGTGCAACAGCTAAGACTGCTGCGTGGCCCTACCACAGTTAATTATATGTGTGCATTTACTTTTATGACAACGTACAAGGGGCTCTGATACTGACTGAACGGAATCCTTTTGAATAAGAATAGAACGAAGAATAGATATTTATTGAAGGGTTTCAACGCGAGCAAAGTCGCAGGCAAAACCTATTATAATATAAAAATAAAATTAAAAAGAGAAAAACTATGAAAGGTCCCGACTCAGCGTAAAAACTAAGGTCCTAAGACCTTAGAACTGGTTTTCAGCCGCAGTCACGAACAAACCAAATAAAAAAAGACCTAAATTTAACGTTAACAATATAAATATTCAGATGAAACTATTTTTTCTAAATCGTAGCATTTTATTGTGTCGAATTTTCTACAAATCTCTTACGCCTGGTTTCTGAAACACCGATCACCGTAAAAATTAACTAATCAGTTGTCAAATGGCTTTAAACTCTCTGAATTGATCGAAGAATGATCTTCTTGATGTTGAGAATGATCTATTCAAAGAGTTTAAACATCCTTTTGGCAACACAAATGACATTTGAAAAGCCATTTGACAACTGATTAGCTCATTTATATGATGATCAGTGTTTCAGAAACCGGGCGTTAGTCACTTATATTGCTTATAGTGTCAAGTTAACCAGGCTTTACGTCGTTAACGCCTTCAAGCTACCGATAGTAATGCCTTTAACGTCCCAATGTCAATGTTCAAAAAACTTCGACATCTGCGCAGTTGTATACAAAACTGTCGATCGGTATATATCGGTCTATTATGGGGATACCAATGAGGTTAAAAATATACCGATATTATAGTACAAGCCAATCACTTCACCTTCAACTGGCGTATAAACGAAGTAATCCGTACTCTGGTTGTCTCATTCGCTCAGCGGCGCTGAACGTCACACGCGACGTCGATTCTCAATTGAATTATAGACACACTTCGTAATATCTAATACGAAGCGTGGATTATGTGCAGTAGTGACTTGAAGTGTACTTCATATGGTACAAGGAAATAGACAACCCGATTGGCGCAATGGATAGTGGACCTGTCTGCCTGTAATAGGGTATGGACCCTCTGGCATAGGAGACAGGTCCATATCCCACAATATGGAACCCATGTTCTACTACTGAAAAAGATATTGTGTGATGACCACAGTGTTTTTCTAGTGTCTGGGTGTTTATATATCACTATATAGTATCAAACAAAGTCATCCCGCCTGTCTGTCCCTATGTATGCTTAGATCTTTAAAAATACGCAACGGATCTTGATGTGTTTTTTTTACTAGATAGTGATTCAAGAGGAAGGTTTATATGTATAATACAATGCACCCGTGCGAAGCCGAGGCGGGTTGCTAGTCTATAATATGTATTTATTTATAAGAAAAGTATGTTTAAATGTGGTATCGCTCACCTAGTAATCATAGGACAAGCCTTGCCTAGTTTGGGATTATATAGCGTGGTGTAAAAAATTGTCCTAAAATATTTATTTCTTTATGGTTGGATAGATCTGAAACGTTAACAGGCGTAAAAACGTACGCCGTTATTTTAACTCTGCAGCAGGCGACAACTAGTAAACAAGTACAAACAGCAAAGTTCCTACACTTTGATAACCACGTTTCATTGATATCCTTATTTAGTCATGACCTTGTTAAGTCCCAAGCGGAAATAAAGTACGTACCACACAGACGTGTGATGTTCAGTTATTTATCATTTGTGATATTCAGTTATTTTGCATTCGGACCAGCGAAATCGGGTCGCGGCCTAATGCTAAAGCAACTAGGCCACCAATTCATGAATACGACATCAATAACGCATTGTCAAAATAAAGCCACATTACGGATTTTATCACGACGGAATTCTTTATTAATGTTTTTCGAATATACTCCTAGCCGTGGGCATTGTTTGACGTGCAATGCAAATTGCATTCTTATTGCGCTTAGATTTAATTCCATATAATAATACTAGCTGCTGTCCGCGACTACGTCTGCGTAGAATAGGCTGAAGGCGTAAGGTTCAGACGAAGAAGTATACATAAAATATGTATGTAAATTATAACTTATGTCTTATTCTGATGTATAAGCTATGTTATTGTAAAGTTTCATTACAATCTGTTCAGTAGTATTTGCGTGAAAGAGAAACAAACATTGATCCATACATACAAACTTTCGCCGTTATAATATTAGTAAGGATGACAATGATGTCTTTTATTTCTATAGCTTTTGCGAGCAATGGAGTTATTAAACAAATTTGGTTGGGGATGGTTTGTCAATTGGTCACAACTTGTAAGCCACAAATGTTGATGACTCCGTGGTCCAGTTGGACAAGATATTGACTTCGGCTCCAGGGGTCGTAGGTTCGATTCCCACACGAGCGACTATTTGTGTGACCCACAGATAATTGTTTCGTGTCTGGGACTTTGTGCACATGAAATTTACACATGTCAAACATCCCTAAAACACAAGATGATGTTATCTTATAGTAATGAAAGAATGTTTTCGAAAAGAAGACTACAATAATACTACAATAATAGAAGTGAGCTGAATATGTTGCACCAAATTATTATAATTAAGATCACAATGTACTACCATATTCTGCCAATAAAGACATTCATTCAATACATATTCTAGGCCACAGTGGTCTATAGGATTTACTACCCAACCTCTTCCACATAAAAATACAAGCCACGGATAAAATAAACGCTCCACGGCTC